AATTGATAGGGTTAAAGATAAATACAAGTTACATCAAACCTTCAGTGTTAACCCTGTCTACCTCAGACATCCCAATTCAGGAGCTGCTGTTGATTTCATGGTAAGTTGTTGTTTGAGTTGATATTTTAAATTGCCTAGAAAATGTTCAAACAGAATGTGAAATTCCTCACGCTCTGGAGCGTGCTTACCTTACAGCTGGCCTCATTACATAAAAGCATAAAACCAGTTATACTGAGATCCTAATGCAGATTAAGCAGTAAAACTTTGAAGTGAGCCCTGGTTATGAAAATGAATTGTAAAATTGCTTTCAGATATAGATGTTGAAGTACTTAAGATTTTTACACAGACGGGGATTCAGCCTTGCCTTTTTAGTTGGAAGGGTCATTTCTGCGCATCATGTTGCTGAAGTAATTCCTACTGATGGCATTTTGGCTGGTTTTCTTGTATGTCTGATATGTAATAAAAAAGAGAAAGGACTAAGCAATGGCAGCACCGTGCTCTGAATCAGCAGTAGAATGAATTACGTTTTTCCTTCAGATTAAGGTATTCACAGGAGAGCGAAGAGGCATTTCACTTTAGAACCATTTTACAGCAGATTTCAGTCCAGTAAAACAAAAGAATATTCACTGCCAATTGTTTCTACTATGATCTCACCCCAGTCCTGAAAAGATAATTGTTTTCTTGGAATCAATAGTGCTTTTCACTAGAGAATGTGAGCGTAGAAGGGGGGAGAAAATACATCACGGAGTCCCTCTCGTGGTTAAGTAGCACCCTGCAGGTGATTGTGTCACTCCCTGGAAGCACTCTCTCACATGTTTTGTCACTCTTTTCCATGCAGCAGGTGTTGCTTCCCCAGGAAAGGGTCTACCCCTAGATCAGCTCTTGCTGTTCGTAGCTGATTTGGGAAAACATTCAGGATAGCACTTAAATATGCAGATTAGAGGAACTGAAGTGAGCACTTAGTCCTAAAGTGTAAGTGGACACATCTTGAATTGACAATGCTCTTTAAATGCAAAAAAAAAGTTTTGTTATGAGCTGGTAATTAACTAAAAATTCTAAGCATATCTAGACCATAGATTAAGGGCAATAGTCAAAATCTTATTTTTTCAAATAATTGAAAAATATGTAGGTATAGTGTTCTTTTGATGGCTATTTCCTAGGCCTAGCAGATTTTCAGTAATATGAAATGATTTGTGTCAAGGGAGATTTCTGTCCTGGGTCCAAAGCAACAAGCGTAGCAGTATAAGGAGACTGTCCTTTCTGTTGTTTGTGCGCTAACTGAGACACTGTTGTGTTTTTACAGCACTGGCAAATTCCACTGAGTCGCCGATTTCGTTCTTTGAAGCTGTGGTTTGTGATTCGTTCGTTTGGGGTGAAAAAGCTTCAAGCTCATGTCCGACATGTATGTGAATTAACAATGCAAGCATAAATGTATTTGGTCACTTGTGGGTAGCTGAATTTAATAAATTAAGAAAAGCAAAGATGAGTGACGGAAATCCTGCCACACGCAAAGCTTGCATGTGAACACTAAATGTGTGCGGATTTTAAGTCATTTGTAAAGATTGACTGCATAGACAAAACATTTCCTGTACCCTTCTTGGAATAGATAGGCAATGGAAAACAGCTTGATATGTCAATGCCTTCTGCCCATTACTGAGTGTTAATCTGTAGAAGGTTTCTTTGAGGCAAAGTGGCAGCTGTTCGGGAGGCAGGCTGTGATGGATGGCTGAACCCATTGCTGTCAAAATTTACAGGCTTAAGTCTGTGACAGAGTGTAAACACAAGGGATCATATTGTGGATCAGCGCTTGGCGTGGAAGGACTCTAATCTGAGAAGGCCTATCCTGTTTTCAAACCTTCTAGAAAATTCCTGTGTATGGTCCCGTTACTCTTGTTCATTGTCAAGGGTTTGGGCAGATAGAGACAGACTTTAAATTTCTTAGTTTTGTTGCAGTGGTTTGCTACCATTCATGCATTGGAATGATGTGTTTCAGTGAGGAAAGTAAGTCTTTTTTAACTACTTAATATAGTGTCTTACAATGAGTTTATGACAAACCAATCCTTAACTACTTTTTTTCCTTAATTACAGGGTACTGAAACAGCCAAATTCTTTGAGTCGTTGGTTAAAAGTGATCCACTCTTTGAAATTCCTGCCAAGAGACATCTTGGGCTGGTTGTATTTCGTTTAAAGGTAAAGATTGGGCCTTTTGCGTGTCTCTTTGGAATGAATTGACCACAGTTTATCTCTCCCCAGACATTAAGAACTATGAATAAACTTTCATGTAAGAATTGTAATGCTGGAATTTAGAGACGTTTGGATGTCACTGGAAATTCTAACTAGGGTTTTTTTTTTTCTTATTCATATTTAAAACAGGGTCCCAACTGGCTGACAGAAAAACTCCTGAAAGAACTAAGCACTTCTGGCAGGCTCTTCCTTATTCCAGCAACCATTCATGACAAGTTCATCATTCGCTTTACTGTAACATCTCAGTTCACAACCAGGGAAGATATTCTGCAAGACTGGAACATCATTCAACACACTGCAGCCCAAATCGTTAGCCAGAATTATGGGTTGCACTGCATGAGTTCTGGTGACGAGGCAAGAATCCCTAACATGATAGTTAAGCCTAGTTCTGATGCCATTAGTAGCGCTTCTCAGCTTTGTCTCGGTGGAGGAAAATACAAAACACCTTCCAGAAAAATAGTAGTTCAGCCTAAGAAAGTAGCAGTGAGTCCCAGTATGTGCGTGATTAGTCAACAAGTCAAAGGTCAAGGGGATCCTCTAGATGACTGTTTTCCAGAAGATGTCCGAGATGTTACCAAACATAAGCTAACCTCTTTTTTATTCAGTTACTTATCTGTTCAAGGCAAGAAAAAGACAGCGCGTTCCCTTAGCTGCACCAGTGTGCCAATGACTGGTAGTCTTGAGCAATGCAACCCCAAAGCAGCAGCCACTGACAAGAAGGAGTCTCACGCAAATGCCAGAATTCTTTCCAGGCTGCCTGAAGAAGTGATGATGTTCAAAAAAAGTGCCTTCAAAAAACTAATTAAGTTCTACAGTGTCCCAAGCTTTCCAGAGTGTAGCATTCAGTGTGGCGTTCAGCTGCCTTGTTGTCCTCTGCAAGCCATTGTTTAACGAGTAAAAGAGATCAGTGCTTAAGACCTCTCCAGGTAGAAAGAGAACCAAAGTCTGCTTATTCATATGCAATACTACGTGTTATTTTGTTCAATATGTAAGCAGTGGCGATGACCACTGAGAAAACTCCTGTGCTTTTACTTGTGGAAACCTCATGTATTTATAGATGAAAATGTCAAATAAATCTTGTAGGCATATGATGTGAAACTCTCTGGTTTTTAGATGGGAAAAGAAAATGCTGATTTCTGTCTTATCAGTCCTGGTAGTGGAGGGGTTATAGCTGGTAGGCTAGAATCATTTTGACAAAACATGCTGGCCTCAGCACTGTGTAAACAATTCTGCTCTCTATTTGCACCACTGTTGGGTGTTTTTTTTTTAATACCTTGACTTAAAGTCTCTAGACTGCTGTGAGGATCAGTGTGCGCTGACAATGCCAACATCAGTTCCGAACTGTGCAAAAAGAAGGATGTAACCTCTCTAAGAGATGTTGCTATATTAGGGTAATTGTGAAACTCTGTGAGTTTAAACACCCAGCAGCTCTGTCACTCCATCTGTGCTAATCAGCTGCAGCGCACAGGAGGCTTTATGCAAGCGTGTTGCAAGAGCAGTTGCCCTTGCTAAGCACCTGTGGCCTTTCTCAGCATTACCTAAGGTCTGTAAATCACAAGTGCATGAGGAAAGAGAGTAGGAATGAGATTTCACCCTTTCTCACAACAGAACAACTAAGGGACATTACAGAAGAAACGTTCTCTATGCAGCAAACGAGCTTCTGCTACAAGAGGGCAATGATTCACATGTTTTTCAAGAATAATTAAAAAAATTGTGGGGGAGAAAAATCTATTGAGAGCGGCTTTAAATTCAGAGACACTACTGTTGAGTCAGGAAGCGTGATGACTGCTAGGAGATTATTCTGGGAAAGCACTGCTAGATGCTTGCTGCCTTCTCCATAGTTGTTTCCGGACACCTACAATCACCCCATCTTGAAGGCAGTGTACTCAGCCAGGTGGATCTTCGGTCCGGCCCAGTACAACCATTCTCAGGTTATATAAGCAAGGGGTCTGGTTAAGCAGAACAATTTCCATGCCTTTATACAACATCAGCTAAACTCACAGTGGGGTATATTGAGGCATGTGTCACAAGGAGCAGTAAAATTTCGCCTGATAGCCCTTAGTGAGAGCAGATTTGATTTATTCCATTCTGTAATATTTGCCCTTGTTTCAATCCTAGGGAAATCTAAGCCACACTTAATCATGAAGTATCGGACCTGCCATTACTCTATTTGCACCTGAAGGAAAATACATCTTAATTTCTTATAAATTGTTCTCATTCTGTATATGTATCATTTGGTGCAGAAAAAGTAAGAGGGCACCTCTGCTGCAATGGATAAAAGTTATTGTAAGCATCCAGTACAGACTTTCTTTTTTTTTTTAGTTAATTCGAGACAACTGTAAGCTTCATTAATGGTCTTTTTTAGTGAGTCTTGTGTTTTGATGTAGGGATGTAATTTTTGCTAATGCAGTGGATCACCTTTTAATATGAATAGAAATGTATTTGCATAAAGATGTCTTATATTGTACGCGCTTTCAGATGCTTAGGTGCACAATATTGACATTCACAGCATTAACAATACATCCATACACAGTAGGAAGGTACGTGAGATTCAAAGTACGAAGGAGAGGAGAAGCCAGGCTAAGGTACCAATAGAGCTGGAGAAGTTCTGCTTTATTAAAACAATCTTACATTCACAATTTATTTCAGATACTGATATTTGCTAATATTAATGAATAAGATTTCCTGGCAAGGTTAGAATAACAGATACTTTAAAAACTGAATATTATAAAACACGTATTTTTTTTTTTACATGCTCACAACTTGAAGTCATGTTTTTTTACTGAGTTATAAGTGTCCTAGGTCATTTGTACATACAGGTTTTCTTTGTCATTCAGGAAATACAGGCGATCTTTGATGACTGCTGGATTGAAACCCTTTTCCACTAGTTGTACTTTACGGTATTTAAAAGTTGCTGTAAGTTCAATGGCACTCTACAAAACAAAATTACATCTCTGTGAATCAATGTCAGCATGTAATTGTGGGAATTAAGATTAGATTTCCTAAATTCAAAGGGAATTATGTTTAAAAATAACCCCATACAGCACAGAAGTTGAAGCGTTACTAACAGAGGTCTAAACTATCTGCATTCATCAGACTGTGGACTGTGGAATGCGTTGGCCAGTAATTACTCTGAATGTAAGAAGTGCTGGGGCCACAGGAACATTACTGAAAGGCTTACTTTACTATTCTATTTAAATAAGGCAGGAAAACATTAGTTTCCAGCTTTTAGTTAGAGAGAATCAAGGGTTTCAGCCAGAAACATATTTAATTATGTTCTCTGATCAAAAAACAGCAGAAATTTTCTCTGAAAAGAAGAGCAAAGAAAATGCCAGTTGGAGACTGGGCAAGACTCACTGTACTTTACATGGGATGGTAAGACAAACCACTGCCTTGACTGGTCAACTGTTTTGTTTGTAAAACTCAAAAGGTTAAAGATTGATTAAATAATTAGACATGCTAGTATCTCTGTGTTAGTCCTCCTGAGTCACCTCAGGGAATACACAACCTTTCTCAAAGGAGCAATGTTTAAATAGCTAACTTGAGAAGTACAGTGAGAGTGACATTCTTGCAATGTTTTCCTAATTGAAGTTAAATTTCAGTTTAGAATTTGGCTATTTATTCACTGGTCGGATAAAAATCTAAGGCCTCTCTTGCAAAAGACAGCCCTCTTGCAAGCTTTCATTTGTGTGGATCTTTCTTTCGCACAGCACAGCCCGTAGACAGAGCGGCACTAAACTGAGAATGCAGCTGTGTCACTGTGCTGAAAGAATCCAACAGGAAATGTATTTTCCACCAAGAGATCTTCCTGGCTTTATATGTCAAAATGTGCCAGGTATCCTGTTGCTCATGCAACTTGTTTGTTTTTTTTTTTCCAGGCTGAACTGAAACGTCTGGGTACAGTTCTGCTTTCCTATTTGTAATGACGAGAGCAAGTGAGAGACAGAAGAAGCCTTTTGGAGAATTGCTAATATAACTAGTAAGTCCATAGTCCTCATAGAAAAGTGAGAAAACACAATCCAGACGGACACACAAAAGCTGCTTAGGAACACTGGTTTACCTTAATCCTTATAAGACGAGGTCTTGTGTAGTTTGGAAGGTGAGTGTTAACGTGTCTGTAAGTACTTTCTCCATTAAATTCCCAGTTTTCCTTTAGTCAAATACATGCCATTCCTGTTCTCCCTTCATAACCTGAAGGAATGACAGCAAATAACTGTAGTTCATATCTAACTTTGAACTTCAGGCTAACCTTTTTTTTCCCCCCTCGTATAAGTGAGCCCTTCCTTCTAAGCCACCTTAGAAAACATACTAACAGATTTTCCTTTAGATATCTAAGTGATCAGTCTTTCTTAAGGCTTCAGCTTGCTAGATCACAAACTCTTGAAAGCCTAGCATCAGAATTCTAGATGGCAGACATTTTGAAAGTCATCCTTCTTTGACAAGTCTTTGGAAGGACTTCGGAAAACCAGATCTCAGTACTCTGAGGCAGAAGTCTGCCTGCAGCAGCATTTAACTGTGTGGGTTAATTTCCTTTACAATAAATCATGGTAAATCTGCTTGTACTTACTGTGCTGACAAGCTCATCTATGCAGACAGAGAGCAGAAAGGAGTAAGACCCAGTTTACCGTTTTTTATTACCATCTGAATGATTAAGTGCTGCAAAAATCCAAGTACTTCAGATTTTTTACTTGATTTACATACCAAGAGGGCTTCTTCCCTCCCCTTTTGGTGGCTGAGGGATGGGACGCCATTTAAACACAAACCTTTTGGTGTTCCTTCTGTTTTCTGGGATTACAGGTAACACAAGAAGAAATAGGTAATATTCTGATAGGAAGTTTTAAATTAGAACCATCTGAATGCTTTCACAGAACTGTGTACAGGAGGAAGTGAAAATGGAAAGCAGCATCTAACGCTTAAAGAAAAGTAGAGCACAAGCATATGCTAATTTAAGATTAATTGTTCTTTATTTTCTTTTGAGTCTTGTTTCTGTTTGCCTTTATCACTATGTACTGATGACACCCGGCATTACAATTTTTTAATTCAAGATGTAGAGTGTTGAATTAATGAGTTTGCAGGTGATGTATGCTATCACTCCCTGGGTGCATTACAGAAGTATGCATATTTCTGTGCCATGTAACACAGGAGGAAAAAAAAATATGCAGTCCACCCAGTTCTTATACAAACGTAAGGTGAGAACCGGTTTGAACAGTATTTTTTCTTCCGTAAAGTTGATCTATAATTAGGTACTAACACCTCTTCTGTGTGGTTTTACAGGAGCATTGAGAATAAGAGCCTATCTTCCTCATCTCCTAGAGTGTAATCCGAGAAATACATAAAGAACTCTAGACCATTTATGTTGTTACCCTTTTGAAATGTGTCCTAGGGCAGCCGTATGTTTATCCCTACCACAAAGCAACTGAAAACCAGAGTGATGTAAAGAGAGAGGCTTTAATTTGACATCAACATGTGTAGCAGAGACATACATGATTAATAAAACATTTATTTATTTGAATTAAATTCACTATTCTGATAGATCATCTTGGTTTATAAACAGCCTTGTTATTTTAGCCTCAGAAACACTGGGCATTTGTAGTCTTGTGTCTTCCACTTTTAGTAGAGGAAACAGCGAGTGGATCATCACATTAACAGAATCTCTCACATGCTGAATGGTGGAAGGAAGTGGTGGATGTAGGAAGATCAGCGTCTCTAACATTCCTTTCAATTCCAGAATACTAAATTGTCACTGATGTGACCCATGTTATGATACACCGTAGTCTGGAAGCCTTTCTGCAAAAGTGTGATTGTGATACTTGTTAATTTAATTATGTACACATCTGTTATACCTGTTAACTTACCTGTTAAGTTAGTTAACCGGGGCTCCAAAATTCCTCCTCCTCCTTAGACTAAGGGCATGCAAAGTATTATGCCACCTAGTCCAAACCACTTGTACAATGCGATACTCAGGATTTCAATCAAATCTAACCTTGTTGGTTTGATTTCAGATCCCTACATTACACTCTAAGAATGGGCTCCGTTTTTAACCATATATCACAACCTAGCTAGATGGGAATCCTGTGGATCTTGGGTAAGTGAGAAACGTGGACAGGAAGGTATCTCCAAAATACAGGAGACAATGTAGACTAAAGCTATCTGTTCCCTCTGTTGTCTTCCAATATATCTGAGAATCTGCCTTAAGCAGTAGTGCCCTCAAATTAAAAATAAAAAAAAGAAAGAAAAAAAGCTGCCCTAAGCATTAAAGAGTTAATAAAAGTTCAAAGATTTCACAGATTTTTGAGGATCAGAGAAAAGGCAGTGAACACATCAGAACTTCTTGCATTCCTTCAGATTGTTAAAGAAAGGTGAAAAAGGGAAGTATCAATTTCTTAAGTCACGATCTTGTTCTTCTAGAAATTCAAGTCTGTTTTGTTTGTCCCACTCTACAGTAATTGCAGAGCTATATTCCTGTAAAAGATACAAGGTTTATATCCAAGATGCTTAATCTCAAATGTTCTTCCATGCTCCTGTTAGTATTCTTGTCACGTCATACTATATTAATATAAGCTTTGGCTATGTTTTTTTAGCTAATTAATATTGTGTACATTTAAATGATGGAATGTATCGAATGTAGCTTACAAAGAACAAGCTGGAGTAGGACTACCTATACTCTGCAGTTCAGTATATTGATATTTTGTTTACGTATTAAAAAATTATTCTGCTGAAATAGTTCAAGCATTTCACTCATACCTGGAACAGATACTCCATATACAATGACTTCTTGAATGCCGTCAATCAGTCCTAAAACATCTGCAACTTCTGTTGTAGAAACATTTTCCCCTTTCCACCTGGAAAATAAGCAGTCAATAGTCATGATTTCTATGTGTATTACATATGGTGATCTCCAGTGGTCTAATGTCTGACCTTGCAATGGGCTGAGCACTGAGCTTGAGGTCAGAAAGGACTTTTGCACTAGAACAAGGAACTTGTTATCAAAAGTAGAGAAAAACATGCTGCAAAATTCAACAACACATCCCAGATTATTCAAATCTCAGAAGAATTTAACACATTTTTAATCGTGCTTAAAAGGGCTCTAAACAAACAAAACCTCAAAATATTACTTACCTTAGATTCCATCCTAGGGTCTACGCTTTCAGAGGTTTAAAATCATACCAAATGTGAAACCACAATGTTTTTGTCCTATGAATGTGACTGGTTTCTGACTGTTCAAAATAGCACTCATTCATCACCCTGAACTGAACCTCTTATAGGCTCTGTATGTAACTATCAACAACTGATAAATTACAACAGTGGAGGTGATTGGAGTCCCCTCTTTTTCTGACTGAAGTCAGAGAAATTCCTCTTTGTCAGTCAGTAGGAAATACTGGGTATGAATTCAGACTTCAGAATGAGTCAGAATTTACTCTTGTGACAAGTATTTAAATTTAAATAAATAAACTAACTGGAATGTGTCTCCAGTTCGATCATGGAAATAAATGAAGTTATCATTGTCGATCACTAAAAGATCACCGCTATTAAAATATATACCTTTCTGGAAGATATCTCTTAATTGCTTCTTCTCTGCTGTTTCTCTCCTGCATAGGCACTAAATGGTGCATATTGGGTGATTTTGCATATCAGTTGTCCAGGTTTACCTATGAAGAAAAACATTTGTTTAAAAAGCACAGTGTAAATTGCCAGAAAATTTATTTTCATTACATCAGTGAAGTTTGCAGACGTTATAGAGTTATTTGAGAATTTTTTCACAATGATATTCTTTTAAAACCAGTTGTGGAGGTACAGACTGAGTTTCACCTTGTCCTCTCAATCCACTAGCCCTCAAAAATGCCAGTGGATACTACAATTTATCACCTGCTTGTATTAATGCAGCAGAACAGAATCTCTGAGGTCCTGTATGGCAAGTGGAAAACAGTTACCTAGTTCCTCTAGACAGCTTCATAAACCTCAGTTCAAAACATCTGACTCAACAGGAGCTGTGTCTACAAAGGAACCTTACACATGGCGTCAGGCATGTCTTTGGAAGGGGACCACGGGTACAGGCTACTTCCATGTAACTCATTTGGCATGGTGCAGCCTTCTCCCTCAACCAAAAGATTCAGCTGGATTTAGGAACCAAATATTGAGGTTCGGCTTGCTTACTTTGAATGCAAAATAGACCTAAAGGCTGCTTAGTATGTTCTTTAGTCTTTCATGTGCTAGAGCTGGGCTAGTTTGTTAAGGGAGCAGGAACACCTATATGATTAGGTAGACTGAAACTCAAACCCATGTTATGTAGAGCTTTGCATGGATGTTACACACTGGGGTGAATTTTATCTCTATACAAAATAAATTACAGTCTGTCCCCATCAAGCCTGGGATTTTACATTTTTTCATGGATTTCTCTCTTACATTGCAGATATTTTCCAACTTAAACATTGGGTGCATTTATATAAATATGGAGTATATGTGTGCACTTCCCTCCTCATCCCAACTGGAGACTGTGTAGAGAGAGTCAGCATAGGAGAGTATACCTATGGGGTGGATACTCTTAACATGACTGGCATATTCCTCAGCAAGGAGAATTTAACTCCGTTGGTAACCTGTCCACCTGTTCCCTTATGTGCATAAGGGCCTTCTGTCCTCACTCACAGTAATGACTACACAAGTAACAGAATGCAAAATCAAAAAGTATCACAAATATCTGATTTAAACACAGGTTTGCCTGTGCCAACATATAAACCCCTCCTATGAAAAATGATATTAAGAAATATTATAAAAAAAGTATTTTCACGTGTGCTTTCTCTATTGCCAATGGCAAAAAGTTTCAGCCACTGCTGGAAGTGAGAACTGCTTTCTATTTTGCAAATGTTTAGCTGCATTCCCTACTGTACTTTACCTTTCTATTAAGCTGTATTACAATACTTTGTGATTTGTTACGTATTTTCTAACTTGTATTTAAAAATCTGGCTTACTCAAAGGCAATTCTTAGCATCATTCCAGACAGCAGCGATGCAAAGAGATGTAATTTTTAAAAGTAAATACCTTTCTGAAAATTTTCTAAGGGAGTTTTTACCTTTGGGAACTCTTATGCAGTATCCATTTTCATCTCGGACAGGTTCATCTTTTTCTACATCATATTTAATCAGTTCATAGCGTAAGATTTTCTAGTGAAAATCTGCAAAATGTATACACACATGAATATTCAATCTTTGAAAAATATTTTCAGAGTTATACTACATAGTCAGCTTTCTCTTTAACAGGAGCCAAATTCATCCTGCTTCAACTGGATGTGCTGAGTCTAAATGTCCTTTTGCCTGAGCTAGCGAGAGATATCTGTGATATACAGCATGGGCTGCTGTCGACTGTACTTGAGAAGAACCTTCTCTCTGAACAAATTCACAGCTGGGCCCCGTGTTCTTCCCAGCTTGTCATACAAGTGGCTTGGTGTATGCCTTTGGCAGTATACCAAACTTCACCGAGAAGGACAAAATGCCAGGTTTTGTGTTATTCTTACCTTCTGCAGGCAGTTTACTCTTCCCACTGCACCAGTTTTTGCAGTGTAATTAAAAGAAATGTTTCCTTCAGTTGATGCATAAATCTCCAAAATACGAATATTTCCAAACCTTTGGATGAATTCCCTCCAAACATCAGCCCTTAGTCTGTTTCCTATGGCAAGTCTGACTTTGTGATCCTGATCATTGTTTCTCTAGAAACAAGTAGGAGTCATGAATTCACATTTCTGCTGAGTGAAAGCTTCTACTTCTGGAAAACTCTGAAGGAAACTTTAGTCTAGAAGTATTGAGTATATTCTGAAGCAAAATGCGTGCAGACATCATTACAGTTAAGCTCATGATTTTGATGTGAAAAAGGAAAATATATTACTGAGCAAGTCAGGCTATATATCTAACTGTAGTTAGCAGTTAACTTGATTTGGATGAAGACAGGAACAAGTAATTCTACGCAGAAAGCCAGAATGCAACTCAGGCACCGTGTTAAACTGTTTTGTCTGTAAGCCTTGTGGTGACTATCTGCAAAAGAATATAATTTACCCTGAATTCATCAAAATGCAGGATTTAAAATGGTGTTTGGGTGGAAATTCCTTTTGCCATTGTAAGTCTAGGGTTGAGCCTGCTAAAAATTCTATTGCATTACATATCACTTTTAGTAGTGCTATTAGGTCTTTCTGTTTACACAGTAAAGTAATAAACTTATAGTGAAGACTGCAGTCCATTTATGCCTTCTCTTAGATGTTTGTGTTTGTCCTCAAGAATAGGAAGTACTGAACTGGATCAGACACTTGTAATTCATAAACATGTCTAACGTGCTAATGAGTAACAATAGCCTGAGAGAAATTTAGCAAAATAAGGAAAGGCTCTTTTGTCCCACTTCCTGCTGTTGTCTCTAACTTTTTCTTTTATTACATAATTGAATAGCATTTTAAAGCACAAAGAGTCTTTTAAAATATATATTGGCTTCTTAACTTGAAATACTTTGTTGAAAGAATTAGACTATTCTATCAGCAACAGACTGGAATAAGTATGTTGGCTCTATGTCTTTCAGGAGAGCAATGCAATAGATGGTAGAAGATAGGCAAGGAGCACACGAATTGCAAAATGCTCTTTCAAGGAGTGATTTAAGAGAGAAACCTGGCCATTAAGACGTGCGTATTGGTCTTCTAGTGTCATATTCCCAAAACAGACCAAAAAAATACCACAGTACAATGGCTACAATTTTTAAATACTGTAAAACTTTAATTTTATTTTGGTCTTCAGTCACATTAGTTCTGGATTATTATTGCTTTTCTGCAGAATAGCCTAGAAATGGATGTTTAAATTTAATATAAAGAAGAAATACCTTAATATATAGTCCTCTGTAATATTGAGATCTGCCATTAACGTGTTAGCGTAGAAACAAGCTTAAAATAGAAGAATGAAATCCACTGAAATTCTGCATAGTGTCTAAATGACTTGCTGCTCACCTTTTATAAAATCTTTGCTTGTTGTAGATGATGCTCTACAACACCATACACAATACCTTAGTCTCTCATGAGAGAGCCTCCAGTTGATTGGGCATTTATACATCTGAGCTTAAACATTTTTAAATGATTCCCTGGGGACAGGATGCTGCTTGGCTCCATTGTCCCTCATCTTTTGTTGTTCTGAAGTCAGTATTTTCAATCGTTCTTCCCCATTTGCTTAGGCAGACAAAGAAAATTTGTTATTTAGCTATTAATTAGTCACAGTTAATGAAAGGAGGAAGAAAGGACTTAATGATTCACCCTTAAGGTGACTTCTATAATACCTGGACTCTTCATTTGTTCTGAAATGACTGCGTAAGTTAGCTGGAAATACAATCCGAAAGAAAACTGTGACACATATTGAGTTGTTTTCTTCTGTGGATATGTAAAGGAAAGAAATGATAGCATAGACAAAAGTTATGAGCACAATAGGGAAGTTCAGTAATGAAATGGTATTAGCTAAGACAGATGACACCCTACATCAGTGTGGATCTTGCTTGTAAGTGAGAGTTTCTCACGGGAAAGACTCTCTGTTACATCTACAATAACAGACCAAGCCCTCCTGGCACCACGACAGTTTAAGTAATCGTATCCTTTTGGTCAAGTTCTTGCATTCTTAAAACGTTCATCCCAACTTTCTGGGAGACTTGTGCACTCAAAGTAGCATGCATATGTGTACGTGGACTTGGATATTAAGCTGAAAAACTCTGCTTATGTCGAAGTGTTTTCTCTGTTGGTGTTGAGTTCTACGCACTGAGTAAACAAAAATCCTGATACTAATTAATTAAAGCTAAGCTGTTGGTATCTGTCTTAAAATTTGATCTAGCAGCCACCAATAATGAGTAATCTGTAAGAAAGCCTCAAGTGTCACTCTAGCTGTATCATTCAGTGGACTTCAGCTTCAGCCATTCATGTTGCGCGGTTTTTGTTACAAATCTGTTGGCTTTGATTAACAGGTCACTTTAATGGTTAAGCTAAATGTCTCTATGTGGCTAACATAACCAAACTCACCCCGTTTGGGAACTAATTTATACTTAGCTGGCAACCCTATGCATCTTTGAGATACTGGCTGAATTCAGGAATTTACAGAGTATGCCCTGTCACTCAGTCATATTTGCGTATGCATGCTATCAAGAAACACAACTATATTAAAAATGAGTACATTAGCTCATTCTTTGAGCTTATTTTCCTAAAAAACATTCTGTATGAAAGGAGATAATCTAGTTTTTTTCACTTTTCCCCCTATTTTTTTTATACCAGTTGAGTATTGGCTAATTATGAGTGCTTTGCTAATTGGGATTTTCCATGAACTGCAGGACTGTTGTGTAACTTATTACCACCCTTAATCATATATTTCAAGTGCTCAGTTTCTTTAACTCATTTTAAATCTCCTCCACACACACATTTTGATGAAGACTACTGGCCTAATCCAGAGGCCTAGTTTTCTGATTATTACAAAATTTTATTTTATTAACGGCTCATTTTGGGCTAAGAACTCCTGAAGAAATAATACAAAGCATAGCAGAATCTTGCTTAGGTACCTAATTCCTGAGAAATTCCACTGATTTTCAGTGAAGTTCTTTCATATCTTTGTAACTGACATCAGAATGACATCTCTCTACATTTGATATTTTGCACACATACCTAAATTACAAAGAAACTGTGGACCTGATTGTCTGTTCTGGCTCATGGTTATCAAATGGTGCTAGGGAGACTGACTGATTCCACCTTTGTTCTTTAACTAAATTCCAATTGCTGGTCACTAGGCCTAGCTGTGTGAAAGTCATTTTATGCAAACATACTTTTGAAATTAAGGATTAACAAATATGATTGCAGGAATCTCAGCAGGGAAGTGCTTATGAAGAGGTACCCTCTGAGGACAGTACATTAAGCGTATCTTCAGAGGGGGCAATCTTTAAAGAATCACATGAACACTTTCACCTGGGAATCACCCAACTATCTTGGATTAGGACATCTTAACTATAAAACCCACAAAACTCACATTGCCCAAATACGAAATGGCACAGCTTCACTGGTTCCTAGAGAACGCCTCATTTTTACTTTGCAGCTGGAGTGCTCATATAAGGTAAGTGTTTTCTCTGTCCATTTTAACAGAATGTCAATTAATGGATTGCCATTGTTCCACTATTCAAAAAAATTATTAATTCAAGCCAAAAGCTCCCTTTTTTTTTTTTCCTTGAAAAATGTTCATGTTAGTATTCAATGAGATTACAGACCTCATTAGGGAAGGTTTTTGTTGGATTTTTTTCCCGCCTCCCCTTATGGTTGGATTTTAAGCATAATATAACCAATATTCCCCGTAATTTAGTTAGTCAAAAAAGAAAGGCAGTTAATGTTACCTGTGGCACACTGCATAGATACCGAAGCACTTCCCCAATATACTGTATCCCTGTTACATTATATTTCCTGCAATCATCCCAGAACTGGCTTGCTGAAAATTTGGCACGTAAAACAATAGTTGCACTTGTGTAGAAAGAAGTAAAACAAGCAAGCGAAGGAACAACTCTTATTACATCATAAGACTGTGTAGAATTTCTTAGCACAACATTGTAGAAAACTTGTAGAATTAGGGTTATATAGCTTTTGGAAGTACTTTTTCTAAAACATACTGAAATACAATCCATGCTGAATAATCAGTTTAACCTCAATTTCTACTCACCAGGCAGTTACAGGCTATTATTGTAGATAAACTCTGTACTTATTTACCCTAGAACTGTGCAAAGAGCTGTCAGGTAGGGTAGGATATATTGTGTTTGTCCAGATGATGAAATAAAATTTGTACAGGGTAAAGATCTGTGCAAGTCATATATGAACACGGCAGAGAAATGAGACTGTGTGTTGACTTATGGAGTTTCTAGTAACAGAGACATGTATAACCAAGTATTTCAGCTCAAACTTTGGTAGCTAAGGAAAGGCTTACTGTGTCTGTGATCACATCTGTGCATGAATTCTGCACAGGAATGCATTCTTTCATACTAGTCAAGTGCACGGTACCTTTCATGATACATCCATGGACTCCAACGAGGAGGGCAGAACTATGATAGAGTGGTAGAGCAGTATACACAATGTCTTCTGAGGTAACACTGCCAGTATCAAACAAACCACAAGCTAGCATTATGTGTTCATGGTTAATCACTGCAGCCTTGGGAAGACCTGTTTAAATTCAAGCAAAAAGGTGTGTAACTTCACGTGAATAATAAACATAGTAAGACCAGTCGGTTTCAGAAGGGCTTAAGGAAAGATTTTCTCTCATTCACTGATGCAAGTGACATTTCCAGAGTTTGGGGAGGCATGCCGCTTCTGTCTCCGCAACACACTGGAGTTCAGCCTTGGTGAGGGTATGTCTTCCTACATGTAACTTTTAGGTGATTACCCTCTGTTAAGTGCCGAAATTCCAAATACTGTGGTACCTAGGCGTAACAAGTACCTAGAGAATGAGGAAATGAGATTTGAAGAATCTAGCATGCTGTGCAAAGCGAATGGAAATGCTAAACCAGAGGTTAATCTCAGATCTTGCATCTCTCCTGGAATTAGGTATCTCCTCGCAGCTCTGAATCATCCTAGATGAAAATGGAATTCATACTAGAAAATCTCTTCTTGGTTTCCCCTCAGTTGAACTGATTCCTTGCTGAAGCAGATGCTAGAAGACAAAATGATGGCAGTGCTTGCCTACTCTGTAAGAACAGAGATGTTGGAGCCCTTAACAAGGATGAAAGGCACCTGAGTTATTTGCCTTCTGCAGTCCAAATAAGATTCAAATTTGCACTTCCTCCCTTCCAGCGGAGTTCCTGCCCTAAGAGGGTGAAAGAATGAGCTAGCCTGGAGGCATGCCCTCCTCTTCCTAATGAAGCTGTAGGTATGAGTGCCTTCAGGCACTGTCTTCATCTTCATCCTTGTCACCCAGTTTCTGCTGTGGTTAATTGCTCTTCACACTAGATGCCTTTATGCAGGGCCAGCTGCAGCTCCTATACCAGCTGCAGTTTTGCACAGTGGCCATGAGTAGCTGTATTTTGTGCTGCCCTCCCTATATTTAGTACTCTGACACCCAAAAACTTAATGGCCAGCATTTAGAGTTCATGATCCAAAGATACTGAGTGTAAGGTGGGTGCTAAGATACATACCTAGGCCAGCAGCATCTCAAGGAGTAAGAGATAGCAGATGTCTAGTGACCTTACTGGCATAAAACTTGTTTAATTGGCTTTTACTTCAGTTTCTCCCCCCAGATTTAATGCTTAAAGTCAGTTTACATTCTGCGTGTTTGGTTTTAGATACAGATAGCAAATTTTCTGTTTCTTGAGGGGGAATGAATGAGAGTAGGAATTAATGTGAGGTAACAGATCCTCTTTCCTTATTAAAAAACCACAATGTCATGAGGAATATGTGGCCTTCCATACAGTTTTTGTGAATTTACGTTACTTGTAGTACCAGAAGTATAAATGCACAAGGCAAGAGTTTTGCGTTACATCTGATCTGCAAGACAATGGAATAGGCTCATCTGAAGCAGCATCTACTTTATCAAGAAAGCTCTCAACTCCTTCTGTAGCAGATGTCTTGCTTAAGTAATAAAATTTAACATTTTCTTTCTTCAAGAATGGCAGTATTTCCTCAACGGATTCCCTCAGTTCTTAAAGAGGAAAGAAAAAAGCATTATAAGAAAATTCTGTATTATTCTGTGACCTATACTATCAGTGCATCAACTTTGGCTCAGCAGCTTTCATGTTTAGCTGCTGTTTGAGAAACTTACGTGCAAGTCACTTCAGAATCCAGCAAAAAGGACTGAAGAGGAACTGTGTCTCCCCACAGATTTGGGAGTGGTTTGATTTGATCCAATTTTCTGGAGCAGGAGCAGAATTGCTGAGACAGTTAAATTTCAGAGGCAATATTTACTGATACTTAACCTAGCAATCTCAACTAGAAGTCAACTGTTTTAACAGTAATTATGTCAGCATTACTAGGCGTTTGGGTAGCCTCCAAATTTGAAACAAACTGCTCTTCTTCAGTTGCTGTTATTTTCTCTAACATTTACCAAGCCCTAGCTACCTGTGTCTGTTCTATAGTACTTTTGATTTAGCACTAAGTTTTGTTTTGCTGTCTAAAACCATGCAAGTCAAAACACTGTTAAGAATTATTCGGTGCCGCACACTGGGACAATCTTGTTTTTCTTTGGTAACCCCAAGGGGTGAAGGCGTGTTAGTCCACTGCTAGATATAGTTTTGTTTGTTCAAGTATTTCTCATTACCATAGCAGTTTTAATAGGCAATTAACTGCTAATTCATATGTTGTTTGAGGTTAATATATCATGAAATGTGTCACATATGATGTGGCGTGACTTCGAAGTGGCTGGTGCTTTTCTGTTTTTTAAGTTATTGTTGTGAGGAAATGACTAATCCAGGCAGCCTGTTTGGTGCTTGACTAATGTTGTGAGCTGCCATATGCATGTTGGTGTTTTTGCTCGAACAGCTGTCCCTTTGGCTATAAACTGCAGTATGCTGCAGTATTTTTGCTGAACCAAGTATCAATTTAAATACTGTTAGCCTAGGGACAAGGAGTGCTTTTTTTATTGGCTTAGTTGTTTGCTGGGTTTTATAGTTCAGTAAACCGTGTTTAATACCGTACGTTCCCTTTTTTGTCCAGTTCGGTACGCTAAATGCTGATTTTCTGGAGAGAGCTGATGCAGCTTTCTGTGACAGGTTGGCTCTTGTTTAGTGTTAGAAGAGGCATGTGTGCTCGAGCCTGTGCCAGGAACTGGTCGAGGGCTTGGCCCACCGTGGGCAGTCAGCATTGTGGCCCCGTGCTGGATGTTGCCCATGGGTTCAGCTCCACAGAATTCTCTTCCCAACGTTTGGCACTGCCCAAGCACCCCTTCAGGCCCTGCGCAGTCATAGTCTGCGTGGTGAAAAGACGTTGCTCGCAGCTGCTCGCTGTGGTTTCAGTGGGTGCTCCATTAATGAGTTGATGACTTCCCATGTATGCTTTGTTTCCATAGTCTCCTCATTTCTAGCTTTCAGTCTCCTAATGTTCTGTTGAAAAACAGATACCTTCCTGCTATAGCCCCATGATAGCCGACATTCATGAAATCTTTCTTTTTTCTGCATCAATGTCATCCACGAGGGATGGACTGAATTTAAAGGTGCCTGCAGAGATCACAAGGGACTGTATTTCTTGTTATGTAGGAGTGATTTTTTCCGACATTATGAGGCTATAATTTAAACTTATATAATTAACGTATATAATAAACTTATATCAATTTAACTTGTATAATGAATGCCGAAGTATTTTGAAATGGAGGCTCCAAAACTAACTATTCAAAATCAAGTAATATTTTTAGCAAAATATTACTAACTTTTCAATTTTTTCCTGTCACAACTTGAGTGTGAGCTGAGTCTTCAGTTCCAGCCCCTGTGAATGATGCACAGGCATACTGGGAGGGTTAGTTATTTAATATATGCAGGGCACAATGAGCTCTGATTATGTGGTGCTGATTATTTGCTTGCTCCTGCCACTGTGGCAAGCAGTGTATAGGTTCTCCCCGACTTCAGCTATGAAATCCTAATTGCTCAACACTTGCTGATACTCAGCTTTAGACATTAGAATCTGTTTTACTAACAGAAAATGTAGTTCATGAAATTTATTCACTGCTCTCCTCTTTTCTCGGTCACTGTGCTCTACTCTCATATGCTTTTTTTCCTGCTTACCTCCATTTTCAGTTCTTTGTAGGGGGCTTGTTGCTACAGTGCTTATTTGCACTATCTACAGAGCAGGAAAGGAAGGAAGAAGTAAAGAAAAGCTGAACTTTATAGGAGGTTATAAAGCGCCTTAGACTTGGGCAAGAGACTTCCACTCCGCAAGTTCGGACACTGGAGGCTTTGCAGGGCTTGCCGGCAGGCAGGGATACCTTCCTCTGATCCACGAGATGTCACCAGAGGGTAACCAGTAACTGGAAGTTTTTCTCAAATTGGGTTTCAAGCTCACTGTACTGTTGGTTAAGGGGAAAGTCCGTGGTGAAGCCCAGCACTCCTTATACTGGCTAACTGTAGGATGCTCCAGGCTACAGCATCTTCTGTGCACACAGCCTCCTCTCTTTTCTCTTCCATTTTCTATTTTTTTTACGATTTGCTGGGAGACCTCACTGTAACGGTACAAGGCAGCATGCTCCATTCTAGCAAGCTCAAGCGACAATAGTCATACCATGAAACACCACTTGCCTGATTACTGAGGAATGGCAGAGAAATGGGATTCAGAGTGGATGACTTGTGGCTTCAGTAAACCTGTGTAACAGGCCAGCTGGGTTTGTTCTTTTCTTACCTGTTTCACCTGACCCTTCCCACTGAAAGCCCCAACTGGGTATTTTCAGGATTGCTAAGCTGACATCTTCAGTCTTCAGTTTCCAGTTGCAAATGCCCTTCTGTCCCATTTTCAAATTCACAGCTACTACAGTAGCTACAGTATTACCACAGTGTTTCTGTAAGGTTGCAATCAGATGAGACAGGCTGACCTGCTCTAATCCATTGGTGCTGCCAGAAGGGGTGATTCTGTTTCCCTCTCCTCCTTGTGTGGCCTCCTAGCTCCACTGCCTCCCTTGCTCCAGCTCTGGTGCTCTTGCGGCACTTCAGTGATGAATTCAGCTCAATAAGCCAGCAGAAAATGTGACTCACTGAGTAGAACTGGCTCATCAAGGGGTCACATGAGTACTGATATTAGGACCGATGCAAAGGAGGGAATGAGGAGATGATAAGCAACAGCTTGCTCTCCCTGCCGTACAAGCCACATCTCAAATTCTCCTTCTGTTCCCTTCCCACTTCGGAAGTCGTGCAAGATGTCTATTAACCAGGCAAAATAATTTTTGTAAGAGTGAGAACCAAGTTCATAGTCTATGGAGAGAGAAGTCACTGAACCTACTCATGGCAGAGTTCAAACTATTCCATTTTTGTCCTCCCTGCCTGGCAGAGGTTCAGGAGATGAAGGTCAGTGAAGTAAATGCTCTGGCACCACTTAAACTGTGCTAACATCAGCAGTTTATTGGTATTTTTCCAGATCTTTCCCCATTTCTGAGGGATGATGCTTACAAATTTGTAACGCATCAGGATTTCTAGTAGGTCAACTAGGTGAGCTGACTTGCTAGTCTAATCTGCAGCTGACTTGACACCTCTGTTCACTGAAATTGTTTGCAATCACCAACCTCCAAAAAAGTCTCCTTCAAAGTGAGTGAACCATTCCTGTGACCCTGGAATTTTCAAGAAAGTTTTGTTTAATGTATTACCCAGGTCCCTGCAAAGGCGAGAAATCTACATGTTACCGGGTGCCTTTACTTTGCTGCACACTGTCACAAGCTCTGTTCTGTTCCTTTATGTTAATGACACTGCTTTTAAAAGATAAAAAATCACAGAATCACAGGATGTTTGGGGTTGGAAGGGACCTCTGTGGGTCATCTAGTCCAACCCCCCTGC